TTACTGTGCAAAGAGGAATTATTCCCCTCGCCCCTACAACAGGGACTTTCTACCTAGAGCGCAGCTTTATTTGCTGAATTGGTGATTTACTATTTCCTACGCGAGCATCTCAGTGGCAGGAGTCAGGCAGCCAATTTCGATCCCTCTGTGAGATTCAATTAAACCATTAATTAAGTGATGTCAGTGTCCTTTAACAGCTGACTGTATACACAAGCAAGGAGAAGGGGACAGACCCCGCAGTGCTAATAAACTGTCGCAGCAGGGGTGGCTTACCGCAGCCCAGCTGCAGCTGTCAGGGACATCTGTGCAGGTTTTGCCTGCTTTCCCTACGGTGCAAGAATACCTGGCTCGAACTCGGCATGAAGCAGGGCTCTGACTAGGTGTTTATAACCCCAACGTGCCCCTCGGGAGGCTCTGAGAAGTTGCAGTTCAAGTCGGGTTATGTTTTGCACTCAGACTTTCAAGATAATCAGGGATGCGCAAAGCTGCCGCTTTCACGCCCCGCGTCCCTGCACAGCCTCTCCTCCCCACAGCTGCCCCTCAGCCCAAGCCCCAACCTCTCAGCCCAAAAAGAGATCAAGGGCCCTCAGATTTTGTGCTTTCACGTTGTTCTCCTCTCCCCTCAAGAGGCATTAATAGGTACTCAACAGCAGCGGGAACGGCTCAGAGGTTTTACTAATGAACTGCCTAATAGCATCCAAGTCCCTGGGCTCACGATGGAGCAGGGCTGCAGGGTCCTCTTGGGGAGATGCAGCCTCACTGTATTTCCTTTTTTTGCAACCACTCACGCCTCCCCTGCGATGCTCTCCCGTTCTGCTGCTGCCACTTTGCGGGGTCCTTTTGTTCCCTTGGAGCTCACAACTCGCTTCCTATGCCCCACAGCTAGGAGCAGGAATATGCATGGGTCTGGGACCTCTTCTCAGCTAGGGAGCCCCGAAAGCTACTGCTTGGGAGCAGTTTACAGTTTGGTAGAGAAGCCGGGCAGGAGGAAAAAGTGTTGGGTGTGAGGGGCTGAGAGCTAAGCAAGGGTGTGTGGGCAGCAAAAAGGTGGGGCAAGAAAGAAGGAGTGAGGAGACAAAAATACAGGAAGAGAAAACACGGCATGAAAAACTTCCCCAAGATCTGCCAGCCCAGAAACCAGCAAAGATGGGGACCTTGGAGGTAGACAAGAAGGGCACTCCAAAATCTATTCTCTGTGCTACACCACTTCATGGCTCATTTTGCAGAAGTCGAACAAACATCCACTATGCCTCACAGCCACATCACTACTGCTTCCAGCGTTCAGCCCCTGTTCCCTCTGCTTGCTCCTGTGCAGAGCGGGCTTCCCGCTGCACATAGGTAACAAAACGCAGGGCCAGGCAGGAGAAAGACATATGTTCACCTCCAGCCTCTCAGCAGCAGCCCCCAAGCTGAGGTGGTGAAATACAGCTCTCATCTCTCCATACAGCAACCCGCAGGCAAACAACTCACTCTCCTAATTGCCAGCAATGGCCCCCACACCGCCCCTTGCAGATACCTGGCTGCTGCCTTTCATTTTGCTCCTGCTGCATCCACAGCACAAGTAAATTTTCTAATTTCCTGAGCTGTCAGAACCAACACCAGAAGAAAACGGGCAGCGCTGAGCAGCCTGCTGGGTTCCTTGTGAAGCACGCAGCAGGGAAGCAGCCTGCCTCAGCAGTGGGAGATGGTGCGAGACAATCTGCCCATAGACATGTTGGACAAAGCTGCTCCTTTGGTGGAAATCCCTGCAAGAGAGTGGGCTCACACCCCGGGGCCGGTGTAAAACTGGGACAAAGCCAGATGGGTGCAAGCAGCCTTGCAGCCGAGCTGCTCTCCCAGCCCTTATCGGAACCCTCTGAGGATGGAGCTGGCGTGGGCAGGGCCATTGTCTGGGGGATAAGGAGTGAGAGGGAGGAAGGGAGAGATTAGCTCCAACCTTGCTGCCCAGAGCTGCACTGCACAGCCGCGACATTGCTCTGCCCTATGTTACAGGAGACCTTGTTTGGCTGCCAGCTTCCCCTTCTGCTTACAGAGAGGGATTTTGCTGGCATTAAGGACTCTCAGCCAGGGCTGAAACAGTAACTAAGCTACACTGCCCGTGGTTATCAGCACAGCTCATCTGGGCCTCACCCTGACCTCAGGACTAGACACACACAAAAAAAATAGGGCAGCGGCAACAAAAGCCATCCTTATGGCGAGGGCACGTGCTGGGGCAGTTCCAGAGAGCTTAAGGAGAGATCTCCATTGCCGCACAGCACTGCGATCGGGGCCAGCACCACACAGCAGGGCCCCTCTCCCCTCCAAACTTGCCACTTGAACCATTTTCCCCCCGACTCGCTGCATGTTGCAGCAAGGCCGTTTCCATGCGGATGGCTGCTTCTCCCCGTTGCCATGGTGACGGCGCTGGTGCCAGAGGGCCGGAGGCGGAGGGCGAGCGCCATATCTCCCGGCTCAGGCTGAGGGTACATCTAATCCGGCCCCACGCCATTTTGCGCCTTTGAGGAGCTATCAAATGGCCAGCAGGAAGGCTCTGGGTGGACACACCGGCCCACCGCTCTTCTTCACGCCCTAAATCACATCACAGTGCCCTTGACAGGGCTTCCCATGGAGCGCTCTCCCTTCACGCCTCACAGTTGCTGACACAGCCATAGTCCCGTCGTCCCTAGGGCTGGGCTGTCCTACAGGCTCCATGCTCAGTGCCATCACCACCAGTGCATCCTCAGCAGACCCGTATACAAGAAATGTGGTTGATGGAGGCAGGGCCCTGGGGCATCCAATGTGTCCTCGTAGTGCTCTGCCTCCCTCCTCATGTTGCAGCACGCTGGGATGGATGGAGGTCATGGCAGATGAGAACTGGCTCGCGAATAGTTTTCAGGGAGAGATGAAGCACTGCCCAGAGCTGGGGCTCAGGGAATCCTCTGGGCAGAGCCAGGACTGCTTTGGTCCGTGCCTGGCACAGAAAGAAAGAAAGCTAAGGACAGCTTTAAAAAGGCTAAATTCTGTCATCTACAGAAGGTGAACTCTTCCAAAGACACCAGTTTGTACTTGAACAAAGCGGAATGCAGAAAATGCATTTGCCGTGTCACCCTGAATTTCCACTGCAGTTCTTGTAGGATTTTCTTCCATGGCAGCCAAACGCCGTGCTGCTGCCCCTTTCAGAAAGTTTCCCCAGCAGGCTCCTCTCCCTGCATCTAGCCAGCATCTCCCTGCCACTCTGCTGTAAAGCAGTCCCATCTCCTCTAAAACTGCCCTCTAACACACAGGTGCACACGGTATCTTTGCAAAACACTAACCAGATGTTACACCCCAGCCCTAAATGGCTGGGACCAGGGACACTCTGCCCCTGTTCTAACATCTCCTGTTCAGTTCTCTCTGGTAGGAACACTGTAGTCACCCACAAGTTACTCATTTCCAGAACGCTAGTCTAAAGCCGGTGTGGTATTATGTTATAACATCAGGAAAAGAATATGCAATTCAGGGTTTTTCCACATCAGTATTTTTCTAAGAATTAATTTCCTTACACAATAAGGACAGCTCTTCCCTGGTTGCTACCCTGAAAGAAACACAGGCTAATCAGACCTCAGCCAGAACACAGCTCTAGCAGGGGCTGCTGCTGCCTGATGAGCAGTCAGCCTAGTTGGCAGGCAGTGCCAGGCTGTTACTGCTACAATGACTGGCTGCACAGCTCAGCCCCCGCAGCCCAGGGGCTACAAAAAAAAAAAAGGTATATAAAAGCCCTTTCACCATTCCCTCCTCGTAAGGAAGTATTTGGCCAGCAAAGCTTTTACAACCACACTAACAAGACAGGAAAGTACAAGCATTCAGGGACACTAACAACTATGAAAGCAACACAAAAGCAAACCCACAAAATCCTGTCCCATTGCTTGCCCACAGGACTGACTTTCCTAATAAAGGCTCCCACCAGGAGGAAAGCTGTTGGGAGGGCCACACGTCCCAGTACCTCCCAGACATCATCTCCATTTCCAAAGTCCTGAGAGATCCTGCAGGAAGAGCTGGCAGAAAAGCAATCAAGAGGACAGAAACATGAAAAACAATTAAAAAAAACATATGAAAGCACCAGAAATCTGAAATAAAGCTTCAGAAATCTGGTTCTTCCAGCTGGGTCAAAAGAGAACAAAGGAAGCATAACAGACAGCAGCACGTGAGCAAAAGTAAGGTTCTGAGAAAACAAAAACACAGAGAAAATCAGGGTGCTGTATCAGGGACAGCTGCTCAGGACTGGAGGGTTAACCAGAAGGAGTGTTTGAGCAGGAACACGCCATTAACGGATACACAGATTTGATTCTATTGGGATTTCTGTGGCTTGCTGACTAATGCAGTTTATATAAGAAATATTACATAGTTTTTTTTTAAAGCAAAGGCAGCACAAGAAGTAATAAAGATGGGATTCCACTACCTAACAAACATGGTATTAAAGTCAAGCATCTCAGCATCTCCTTGTCACTTAGTACCTTTCTGAAGAGCCGCAGGCTCAAGAGCTTTCTGACATGCTCAAGGTCTCCAAAGGAAAGCAACAGAAAACTGCACACACCAAAATAGAGGAAGGTTCAAAGAAGCTCTCAGGGCCAAGACTGCAGATGCGTACAGGAACCAATTTACACAGGCACAATGCTGGGTGGTCACAAAGCAGCAGTGGGTTACAAGGGGGTCCCAGTCCAGAACCGTTTGCAAATTTTCAGCCATGATGTTGTACAGAAGATATTTCATGCCTGAAGCAGCACACAGCTGGAAAATGCAAGTGCCCTAACAAGCAATAGGTAGGTGATGACTTCTGCCAAGCAATCTGTACAGCTCAATCTTTATCTCTTGATCACGGAGCATGGCCACAAGGTTAGGCAAGTGCTATAAAATGGACTAAAGGAAGAGTCTGAGTGCAAGACGGACTAGCAATAAAATTAAAAGAGGAAAACATAACCGAAGGCCAAGTATTCCTCCCCCAGCATTCTCCTGGAGGGAAGAATGAGAAATCTGCAGCAACTACAGCAATGCCCTTGGTAGGAAGCACACTGCTACTCCAGACGTCAGGAAGAAGCAAGAAACTGGCGGGTAATAATTCTGCACAGCCCAGCACACATCCCTACCATCTCTTCCTAACAATGGGACTCCTGGCTGCACCACTAAGGTTCTGAGAAAACAAAAACAATAAATCGAGCTCTTACAGCAAATTCTGTTTATTCCATTTTTGTGTTGTGCTGCTAACAAATCTTCATCCTAGCCTAGGAAAAATATCAGGTAGAAAATATTTGCCCTTTCCTCCCCCCCTCCCCACCACACACTTTTTTGTTGTTGTTGTTGTTTTAATGAATAAAGAATCAAAATTTCAAGTATGAGAGACTTTTTTCTTCCAATGCATTTCTGTAATAAAATTAACTCTGTTGTAGATATAAAATGCAGCAGCCACGACCAGAGGATCTGCAATGCTACTCAAAGGCAATTAGTACCCAGAATGAATCAATCAGTTTGTCTGCAAACATAATAAGAAAATACTTAGCACTCACCCAGCACTTTTTATCCATGAATCTCCAAGCGTTTTACAAAAGCTGAAAATATGTTTTTGGCCTCATTTACAGAGAAGAAAACACCGGATGGAACAGGAATAGATTTGCCCTCAGTGACAAAACAATTTAATAGCAGAATAAGAGCAGACCTCTGGTCTCTCAGCCCCGAGTCCAACAACCCACGCCATGCTCTCTGCATCACACAGGACAGCCTGAATCTGGCAAAAGCCCCTACTGCAGAAATGCTAATATAAAAATGCTTTATATTTTTGCCACCCAAAAAAAAAAACCCAAACAAACAACATTTAAACAGAGACCTGGGAGCTATTTTAATAAGCACTGACCTCCCAGGCTGACATCAAGGCATAAAGCCAGTCTTGAACGGAGCTGCTGAGAGCTTTGGAGAAAACAAAAATAGTCTCATACTGAAAGTGTGAACAAATGTGAGAGTGGTGCAGGAAGAAGATAATTCCATGATCTACTATGTGCAAATGATTCTCCACTTGGAGCTTTAATTGAATATTTGAGGAACAGATCACAGGATAAAACCTAAAACCTTGACAAATAGTGTTATTAGATGGAGAGGAACCCAGACCTAAAGCACACATGGCCTGATGCTCCCTCTATTAGCAGTCTTCCAACCTTGAAGTCATTCCTGAAAGACCTGAGAAACCCACAGTGCATAAACCAGAAAAAGAGCAGTGAAATACAGCATCTTGTCCTAGAATTAAGTTCAGCATGGCCGGGAAAGTAAATACCATAGAATAGAGACTAAAGGCTGACTTGAAGATCCTCAGCCACCTTTCCCTGCAAGGTCCCACATTCATGCTTTATGCAGGCACCAACAACACACAAAGTTACTTTCTTGTGCTTTACTATGCAAAATGACTGTATGACATCAGTACTGTTCTTCACAGTCATGCGGCCACAACACATCACCCACAGCCCACTTTGGTCCAAAGACGACACCAACAGGGTCATTTAAAGTAGGTGTCTCCCGTGCACAAGCACCAATTTTCTGATGTCCCCTCTGTAGCTCACGTGGGATGGCTGCAATGCTTGATAGCACACAGTCACAAGTCTGTGTGCAGCAGAACACAAACGCTGCTCTGCAACCAAGAATTCCGTTTTTAACAGAGGAGGGCAGGCCACACCAACTAACAGGACAAACAGTATTACACCTAGGAGCTTAATTTCTAGGCAGCATAGACACTGCAGTGGTCCACTCAGCACCACGCCGAACATGACGCACCAGCCAGCTGTGCTTTGAAGCCTGGGAATACCCAAAAGGGTTCTCACAGAGAACAGCGTATCAAACAGGGATAGGTAAGCAACGTAAGTCAACAAACTCATCTCTTAACTGCAAACCTGCAGCAATGCACAGTAATTCAGGTCTCCTCCCTCCTTCCTGGAAAAACCCAAATGCTATTAGTTCTCCACGGTCATTCTCCAGCACACAGAAGGGTGCCAGCAGCTGGGACTCCCTTCTGCTCAGCAGCAAGCCTGCAGATGCCCATAAGGATTCATCCACACTGCAGAAAGAAACCCTTCAAGAAGAGCAAGGAGCTGCTGTTATTCTCCAAACTCCTCCCAGCCACCCTCCCTCCTTGTTGCCCACTTTTTCATGCGCCAGAGACACAATCAGCTGCACAGGTTTGTGGTACTAACTTACCACCTTCCACTTAGGGGGCTTTATGGATACTAAGGCACAAAGATTAAATTACTTGCATAAAAGTCAGGAATACACCTCATCTCTCTCAGTTCCAATGATTTCTCACAGCTTTTTCCTAACCTCTTGCATATTAAAATCGTGTGAGTAGATGGTGTGGATGAGAACAGGATTTCATTTCCCTGGTAATACTGGTGATACAAATACAGGTAGCTGTATTTCTAAGCTCTCCCCGTGGCTTCTATCCATTCCCTCTAGGACAGGCTGTTTGTCTTGACAAAGTAGGAAAGCATCAGTGCAGAAGGGAGCGCTCCACAAATATGTTGCAAAGCTCCATGGTTGCCATCCTAAGACATACAACAGGAGAGAAAACAGACATGCCTCTGGGAAATCGAGAAACAAACCTCAGCTACACTTTGTTCATCAACAGGAATAGGGAACAACAGCAGTGCTTAACGCAGTGGGAACCGCTGCAGTACGAAAAGAGCGAGAAGAAATATTTGCAGGTCTGACTTCAACAGATCACCTTTTCACAGCTGAGGGCACTGCGAGATGCCGGCAGGTGGGAGCTCCCAGGTCAGATCTCTCGACACGATCGATGGTTTGGTTTCCTAGAAGGTGTGAGTGCCTGGCTTTGGTCTGTCTGTGGCAGAGGCCCAGACCCGAGGAGAAGAGCTGCCCTGCCCACGCGTTGCCCTACGTGCAGCTATGCCTCATGTGGAAGTTTACCACGTACTCCGCGTTCGTGCGCTGCACCGAGATGGCAAAGGGCTCGAAGGGGTGGAAGGTGAACGCAACCAGGCGTCGCACGGTGTGATTGATGGGCCGCCCCAGGAGTCCCGCCTGGATTTCAAACTTCAGGAGGCCAGAATCACGAGCGTAAAATCTGAAAGGAAGAGAAAGTCAATTATGGCTGTTCCTGACTATTGACTTTGCCATCTGGACTCTTCACAAACTGAGACAAGTGCCTTGTTCAGTTTCTGGTACTCCCTCAGTGGCAGGAGATCCTCAGCTGGGTGTCTGGCTCTTGGTGACAGAGGAGAGTCCCCCCTGGGGCAGCTAGTTTTTCACTGTCTAGAAAAAGACTTCTATTCCTTTCAGTCAGAAAATTCTGTCTTCATTTTGGTGGACTTAGCTGACTTTACAATAGCAAAGTAAGTTTGGTTCAGAGCCCACGTGTGCTGACTCTCTATACTCTCTTAATGCAAGCTGCTCCGCTTGATGCCTATGGCAGATATACTGTACAGGATGGAGCTTGCCTCCCTTAGCAATGGCCTTCATTCCAGCTGTAAGGCCAACCCTTCCCTCTCCTGCTGCTGTCAGGATGCTGCTGTGCTTGTGCTTAGTTACATCCCTGTTCAACAGAGGAAAGTGAACACCTGGATCCAGTTCAGCTCCACAGTGCCATATTCCACCTTACACTTCAAACAAGGCTTTGCAAATCCTGATAGATTTCCAAACACAACAACAAAAATCACCAAGATGAAAGTTTGAGCAGGAAGTGTCTGGTGGACAGCATTCAACAGACAATCACAGCAAGGGCAGAGGTAAAGGCAAATGGATGTGTTTTTCTGCTGGTGCCCATAAATCTGGCTGTCGGTCTGAGGAAGCACATTTGTGTCTCCAAATAGGCGAGCTCTGGAACACAGCTTCAGCACTGCCAAGGGGATGAGGCAATGCAGTGAAAAGCCAAAGTCTAGAAAGCCATTTGCTTCTTGAACCTTCTCTGCATACTAGAGGACTGGCTCGCTTTCTGTAGCAGATATAAGCCCACCTTACACATTATTCTGAGCTGCTGTGGGAACAGGGGACTCTCTGCAACGATCCCACTCTTCCCAAGAACACAGCAGAGGTTTGGGGGATTTGGTACCTTTACAAGGCAGCTGAGCTCCAGCTGACAGGACTCAAGTTCTCACCTGAAGAACTCATCCCCTTAGAGCATTTTCTCTGCCCTTTCAGTTTCGGGAACAGAATTGCCATTTTGTCTTCCAGCTTTTTCCTTTTCCACCATCGCTTTGCGGACGTGGACATTTTGCATTTTTCCTCTGGTTTTAACACAGAGAATGCTTTTAATACTAGAGCACATTTCCCCCCACTTCTGGCAAGCAATACAATGCACTCAGCTCTCAGCCTGGAAAGAACAGGTGATGACAGATACAGGCAATGCTGTTTCAGGAGCAGACATACTCCACATTTTAACAGCACAGCCTATTGAGATCCTCATGTTCTTCCTGGAGGGCCACTCTCCTCTCTCTTCCTCTGAATCAAAGCGCCAGCCAGCTCTGCCTGAAAATTGCACACAAGAACTCAGCAAGAGAGTCACAATCTTGGTATTTGGCTTTTTAAAAGCCCTCTCCCTCCTACACAAGGCTGGGTATGTGGAGGGTCATTCTTTAAATAAAGCATAGTCCCTGGTCTGCTCCTCTCTCTCCCCAATTCACAATAATTTACTACTCAAGATGAAGCTCCCTGTAATCTCAGAGATGTGTTCAGTTTGGTATTTTTAAATCTATTTTTAAAAGTGCTCTGCAATCAGAGGCCATTTCCATGGGCTCTTACTCTGGGGATAAATTAGGCACTGCAATATAAAATTGTATGTCAACAGAAACAGCAAGACCAGCCTTTTCAAACCATATGAAAATGGAAGATTTATCTGCAGACCAATTTTTTGGTTAAATGGCTCCTTATTAGCCATCTAGATGGATTTTAGAGACCCCCTGCTATAGGTAAAGCTGTGTTAGAGCCTCTTCCTCACAAGTCCCATCATTTCACCCACTGAATTTTTCTTCAAGCCTCCTGAAAAGATATTGGAAAATGGCAGTGATGGGGACCTGAAGTCCTTCCCGCCTGACAGCAAAACCACTACTGGCCTCTCAAGTAGCCAGAGGGCTGAACCTGCCGAACACAGAAAAGCAGCACGGGTCAAAAGAGCACCAGGCACAGAGGTGCTGAAACTGGTGAGTAAAACAGAGGCCTTCATCTCACAGATGTCCTGCCAGGAAATACATGCAGTCCATAACACCCGTCGCTGCCCAAGCTCTCTGCACTGCAGCCAGTCAGAGGACTTACATTACAAATCCCGCCGCCCCCCATTTCCAAGCTTTCCAACCACAACGGGCAGCAGTATTATTTTATTAATCCCCTTGTTTCGTATGTGAGAAACACAGCAGTGCTACTTCAGCTACTGAATGGTTAAGGTTAGCGCCTGGTCTTCTGCTTACTTCCCAAAAACCAGGAGCCCCACTGCTCCCAGGCCCTATTCAAGTCCTAATTGACTGCACAGCTTTGAGCTTTCAAAGCTCTGGCTCTGAAATGCCGCGTTGCTCAAGGGAGGGAGGAAAGGTGGCACTTTGCTTTGTTTACTACAAAGACGGTAACCACAGCAAATGACTGAGGTTTTGCTCCCTTTTGTCTGCAGGAGCCCTACGCAGGTCGGTGCTGGCAGACAACCATTGCCCTGCAAGTTTTCCCAACGTCAAGCATGACAAGGGGGAAAGGGCAGGCTTTTCTCTGCAGATAGCATGGGAGCTGGAGATTAAACCAAATCATACGGGCAGGGGAAAAAAAATATATATATCAATTAAATATACATAATTTGGGAATTGAGAGCACAGGAATAATCAGAAGATCCCTAGCACCTGAGTCAGAGCCAGGGGAGACATGAAATCAGGTTTTGAGGATGCACTGATGAAAATAAATTTGGGAAGCCATCCAGAATGGACTCCTGAGGCTGTCGGAGCCCCCAACACGCGTCCAGTTGCTAAACAAAGCACTTAGACATTGAAGGCTCTCTTTGTTTTTCGAGCGTAGGTTCATTTCTCTTTTGCAACAGTGTAAGTGGAAAGCCTGTTCTGCCTGGAGAACTCAGCCCCTTTGATTTGAGCCTTTCAGGCAGGGGATGCTGAATTTTTAACCACTACTGCTTGCCACCATAGCTGCAGCCAACAAAAAGAAGTAAATAGTCACGGTGTTTCTGAAAGAAGCACTGCAAACATCCTTATTCTCAGGCTTGGAGTTCTTCCTTCTGCCAGCAATGAAGACTCAGACATAAGAGGCACAGAATGGCTTTTACACCTGGCTAAACTTCTACTACAGAAACAAATTTCCTATAGATCACAAATAGAAGAGGGACATGAAGAGGAGTACGGCTCCCAGGGTGAGAAACGCAAATAGGGAAAAAAAAGGAAGTCTGAAAATAGCAAAATCAATACCAGAAGCTTTATGAATAACACCTAAGCCAGACAATGTTTTAGTCACAGGACAAACCAGGTGATCCTTACCAGTTAACCCTACGTGCTCAGAAAGAATCCTTCCAGCACAGGAAGGCTAGCAAGCACCCAGAAACATATCTGCAGCCCACACAGGGGGGCTGAACTGCTCTAGAAGGAGGAACAAGAGCATTCATATGGAAAAAGGCTCACTCTTTACCACCCAAATCTTCCATAAGGCAGCTCAGTGACAAAGCCTGAAGGGCTCTCCCACACATATAAGGTGACTTATCACAAGGAGATTGGCCAAGCTTTGTGCAACTACTGAAATAAACCCCCTGGCCAAAGGATGTCGGGAGAGAAAGGCACCAATGTCTGTTCTTTCTGCAGATTTCACAGGTGATTTAGAGCTCCCCTTTCTCCTCACATACAGCTGCTTGACCTGTTTCGTACCTTATAGGGTGATCACCGCAGGTCTTGGGCCGCTCCATGACAGACACCCACTTGTCATCATAGCTGAAAAGGGAGAGGTCGAGGTACGGGCTGCCACTGTACGACTGGGCACTGATTGGGAGCTGGCCCAGCAGCCTCCGCACGGCCTCTGTGTGTCCCCCGTACTTGGCATTCACAATAGTGTCTTTGAACCTGAAGCAAACCAAGAAGCAGGTTTTACTCACAAAGGCCACAGGTGAACAGATTTAAAAAAAAAAGAAAAAAGGAGGAAAACTGATAGAGAAAGAAAAGCAGCAGCAGTGTAAGAACTAGAACAGCTCACTTCCAAAGATGTATCAGAGTGATTCAACCATCAACCAGCTCTGGTGACCTTTTTATCCTCCCTCATCATTACTGTTTCTGCTCTGAAAGTCCAAACTGATGGAAGGACAAGACCGTGCCTATCCACAAGGTCTGGCCTCAGCTGCACCACAGTACAGGAAATGAACAGGATCAGAAACAGGGAGAGGTGGATTAGCAGCTTATCAGTCAATCCAAGTTTTGCCACAAAGCCTGTAAACAGCATAAGCAAAAGCCAGCGTGTTTCACAGCAACAGTTGAGCCCTTAAGGTTGACTCTAGAATCCCCCCTCCCTCTCTAGCCATTGTGTTTTAAACACATAGAGGGAGAAACCTGAGATGAGGAAGAACCTTGAAGAGAAGCAGAACGCGCTTCAAAGCCACAGCGAGCTCAAAGCTCTTCCAGGTAAAGAGACAAACGCAGGTTGGATTTCTTGTTCCAAATAAAATTTGAGCTTTCCACAAGCAAGAACAGACAGATCAGCTGCACCAACGTCACACACCACAGTCAGTAAACTGTTTCCCTTTGAACAGAAACACTCAGCCAAAAGCCAGCTTGCTGTGTATACAGCATTATTACACTCGGCTACTTAAGTTAAACATTCCTGTTACACGTTCTTACAGTCGAGTGGATGAACAGATTCTCCTCTACATTTCAGCACAATGCAGAAATTGTTCTTTAGGTGCCTGCACTGAGCTCCCTCGTTCTTGTTTTTTTTCCCCTAAGCAATAGGGATTTTGTGACAGGGAGCTCCACGATGCTACAGTCAACTTCCTCTTACTTATGGGATGTGAAACTAAAATCAGCCGAAGCTTCACTGCCATGAGTGACTGCCAAGTACTTTGGATGATGTCAAACAAGTCACTAGAAGAACAAAACACCCTGAGTCACATAAAAATACATTCCAAGAGAAACAACACACTCTGCCTCATTAAAACCACATTTGACTGTTAAAGAACATTCTGGAAACCCTGGATATTTTGATATTTTGCTCAGTTTTCACAACAAGTCTAGGCAGATCCATTTCCTTTCTCCAAGCAGAGTTCAGTGAGAATCACAAGCTGTTTACTGCTGTTACAGAACACAGCTTGTTGCACACTAAATTTAAAGAAGGCCACTTGGCAAAATACATCCAATTAGACGATGTAGCATCTTGATAAATCTTATCTATGGGGCCCAAAGCTCCTGGGCAGCACTGTTTTAATGAACTCCAGAGGAGGTACCGCTCAAAGAGAGCCAGCAATATCTTGCCTTTAAAATTCCTTTCTCTTCTAAGCACTGAACTGCACCACTGCCTTCTTCCTTGCTGTACAAAGACAGATACTGTGGAATTCGAGACCAGCTGCACGAGGCTGCGAGACGAGCAGGTCCCAGGCAGCCCCTCACATCACACAGCGACCACAGGAGCTGTTTTTCTCAGGGTGGCTGTTTGATACTAGCCTTCAGCTGACGGGGCTGAGCGTGTCTACATGGTATAAAGCATGCTCCGAATGGCTCACCGGCGCTGGATCTGCCTGGCAAAGTTGTTGCTGGAAGCAGAGCAGGGGAACTGAACCGCCTCGCTGTGCAAAGTGGCGTTCCTGAAGAGGTCACAGAAGTTCTCAAACAGCTCCAGCAGCTCATCGGACGTGTTCTCAAACACGGCTATGACCTCCGTGCTCACCATGTTGTACACGACAAAGAATGAAGGCTGGGGAGAGAAGCAGAGGTGAGGGTTAGCCAGAGAGCAGGCAGAGGGAAGCTGGCCCTTCCTCCTCCCCATGTGCTGCCACAGATCCTACCCAAACGTCTTTGCAGAGCAGGAGAATCTCACATCTTCATACTAATCCCTTCTGCTACTCAAATACCTCAACAGGCACCAAATTATCCACCTGTTTACTGCCATGTCGTTATTTATGGAAAAAAACCACAACTGAATGGGCTTCCAATTTTTCTTCTCAAACTGGATGTCAATATTTCTGTTTTCTCTTCCTCTCTGCCCTCCACCAAATCCAAAATGCTTTCTGAAGTGCCAAATTTAATTTTCGTTCCTGCTGACAAAATGATTTTAAACCCAGTGCTAGCTGGCAACAAATCATCCTTTCCTTTATGCAGAGAAATTATTTGCTTTCTCTTCTTAGTATTTCCACCACACAGGGATGAGCCCATTCAGAGTGCTGTGCACCACACCACTGCCTACAAAAAGTTGGACCCTCCTGATACCCTGCTGACACAGGAATGAAAATCTGAAAGACATTAACAACTTCTTTTTAATGCCATCATTCTCGTGCAAGGAGGCTCAGGCGCCGTGCTGTACATTGGCAATCTCAGTGCTTCACAGCATCAACAAGGCAGAGGTGGGGAAAAACACCACATTTGTACCAGCACAACTGCAACAAAGGGAAAGGACTTTCCCAGCTCACCAGGAAGGGGCAGTTCTTGGTCACCAAAGGTAGCTGTTATTAGATAGGACAGGGCTAGATTTCCAGCACCACAAAGCCCATCCCTGCTTCAAATGCAGCTAATTCACTGGGCACATGCACAGATCTGGGTAAGTCTTCTGCTCATAAACACCGTTTGTGAATGCTTCACATCCCGCTCCCAATCAATGCTCGGCGATGACGGCAGGCACTCTGCCCACCTCATCCATCTGTAAATATCACAAGGTTCACTTGTTTGACAGCCCCAAAATAAATTGTGATCGTACAACCCGACCCCCACATGTTAAAATGAAGCACACTGAATGAGGTTACTCACTGAATGACTGCCTGAGGAAAGGAAAGCCCTTCTGAAATACAGCTTTGAAGCAGAGAGGAAACAGCAGAAGTAGAAACCATTTACATCTTTTAAAACTGCAGGGAATCTCCTCCAACCTTAAATAAAGAAGTTCCTTTGCCAGGTTAACACAGGATGCCCTCAACCACAGAAATGTTCCTTCCTACATTTCAGCAGCACCTGTGACGCAGACAAAGCACGAGCGCGGCACAGGCAGCGGAAGCTGTTACAAAAAGCACACAGCAAAGCTGGCAAAGCTGGAACACAGGCCAAAAACAACAACCCCCAAACTAGACATACACAGCAGTGCACAGGCAACCTGCAAGCGTAAACAGGAACTTCCTCAGCCTCCTTAACAGAAGAGCCTAAAGAAAGATCCTGAAATCAGACCAAACCCATGTCCTGCACTGATAGGTGAAAGAAAAAATGGGAGCTTTAGGTATTCTGTGACCAAAGTGTTCTTCACGAAGCCCCAACACCAAGACTGAACTCAGGCAGGTCAGGCTGCTCCACAGCTGGAATTTTCTGCTGAAAGAAAGAAGAAATAAGATGCTTTCCTTCAGCAGAAAATACATCACCTGAGGAAGAGCGCAAACAAGCCACAATTTGCGTCTGAAAGTAACCTTCAGGTGAAGCAAGTCAAGAACAGGTTGGAGCAAAGCAGGCACAAAGACCTTGGTAACCACAGCAGGGAGCAGAGCTGACACTCCCACAGACACTCACATGGGGGTGCCCTGAGGCTTGGATCAGGAACACCACTCTGGATACAAGCAACAAGCTACACACTGCAAGCCACATCCACAAAGCTTTCATGTTCCTGAGACACTCCATTCTACACCAGTGGGTAAAACAGTTTTAGCCTCTTTTATTCTCTCCCAAAATAATTAGCCCAAAACAAATACAAAAGAGAAATCATGGTCACAAAGAATTATTGCTCGTTTCATTAAGGTCTAAGTATTGGAACCAGCAAGATGGGAAGGATGGGATAGGAAGGATAAACAAACACCTAGGGAACTACCTGACAAACTTCAGCAGTAGATTTATTAATTATTTTTGCCAAATGCTGCCAAAACAAACAAAAACAAAGCACAGATTAAAAGACTAAAGTAGGTTAATGTGAAAAATGTCTTGCTTAGCTTCACATAGCTCAAAAACTGAGTAACAGCAACAGTGGTGAAAAGAGATGATCAACATGTGGGATGGTGAAAAGCCTGGAGGGACCCAGCACTGTCTGAGCTACATTTACTCTGATTTGACTTCTTTAGTACTAAACAGAAAGGAAAAGCAATTGGCACATTAGCTAGATTTAAGAGCTGCTACTTCAATTTGGAGAGATCATAAATACTAGCTCTGACAGAAGCTTGATAGAGTAAGTACGTAGGCAGAATAGAAAAGGTAATTCTACTGGTGAAAAATGGAGATATTATATTTGAAAAACATGCTTGAAGATGCAGAAGAAAAGGGAGAGACTACCTCTACAATGCAAGTGCATTACATGAAATAGCAGCTAAAAAAATCAGCTGGGGATTTAGGAGGGAAAGAGCACCGTGAAGCACTTGTGAGCACAGGGAACAATCCCTGGAGAAAGGGGACTCAATAATGCCTAAGATCTTTTCTGTCTCATTTTCAGTTGTGAAGAATGTGGTGAAGTCAGGAGAGCAAAAGACACTGAAGTTATTCAATACCAAGGGTGTCCAATGTTCACACAAGAATGAAGTAATGGGGTCCTAAACAGCACATCCAGTGAACAATCACAGGCTCAGCTAGGAAATGCTGCTCCGAACAGCACTGAACCTGCCCAAGAGCGCTTGCCCCCAAGCAACAGGGAGCCCCAGGTGGCAGGCAGTACCTGTGAAGGATCTGTTACCCGCAGTGTGACCACATCTTCACTAGTGTATTTGATAAACAGATGGTTCTCATCCAAAAGCTGCATCTTCCACATGCGGAGCTGCCTCAGCTGATCAAAGTACTGGAAGAACCTCCTCTTTGCTATCGCGCTGCCGTCCTGCTCTGCCCTTCTCCACAGGTACACCAGCAGCCTGTGCTTCAAAGAATTGATGAAGGGCTCTTTGTAGGGGTTTGCCATCCCTGTCTGAGAGTCCCGCTGCACCTCGGGATACACCGCAGACAGCGTCAGCAGATCGTCCTCGTAGCAGAAGCGGCCGATTGTCCGCACGTCGATGAAAGTCCCCTCGGGTGTCACCTGAAAGACGTGAATCGTCTGCTGCTGCACGGAGAGAATGGCCAAGATGTTCTTATAGAGGTACAGCCCCTGGTTATGAGAGAGGATGACTTTGTCACACTTGAAAGTCCTCGTGTCACAGAGCCTGCCTGTGTGGAGATCAATGATATGCAGGGAATAATCTTCCAGAGGGGAGCGAGGGTTGGGGGTCACCGACTCACTGTTGCGATAAACCTCAAAGAAGGGCGGGTGCGGCTCCTCGGGGAGGTAAGCAGCAGAGCCAACGATGACATACCTACAGTCATCAGTGAACAAGCTGCACTCACGGTTCAGGTGCTCCCCGTTAGAGGCCACATTGGTGATATGGAGCAGGACAAAAAAGCGCTCAAAGAGCCGCCCTCGGATGTTGACAGATCTTTGGTCATTGCCGTTAGCCAGGATCTCCCCCTCATAACCTTGCAGGAGGTCCTCTGCCGCCTGGCAGCCCTGATACTCGTAGATCTCCAGTGATGTCTGGTCGGAGGAGAAGGCGATGAAGTAGCGTCCATCGGGGGAGAACTTGCGCAAGAAGCAGGGTGGCTTCTCCACGTTGACCACGGTGAAGTTGGGGAAGACGTTCTGGTGGAAGACTCGGACCTGGTGCCAGTGGGTGCCGGCCTTGCCAGAGCTGATCCGACGGCGCTCCAGGCGGTGGATGACATTCTGGTTCTGGATGCGGCGGGGCTTGATTGTGGGGGCATCATGGTCCATGGTCAGAGCACTACTTCATCTTCACCCTGCTGCAGATGGCACACACACTCACTGTGGGACCTCACCAAGGCTGTTTACAGAGATGGAGTTCTGGGCAACCCCCTGAGGGAGGGGGCCAGCTGAAAACCTTCGGGAGAGAGACTGGGAGAGAGGGTTCAGTGGGGACGTAACAGGGACAGTGGGAGGTACCCAGAGGGAACCCAGCAAGGCGATGGGGTCTGCAGAGCTGCCTGCTGCAGAGCAGGGCGCAGGAAAGGATCGAGCTGAGGAAGGCAGCACACGTACGTGGATGCCACAGGGACACTCAAACACCGGGAACGGGGTGAGAGCAGCCAGGGGCAGCCTGCAGCTGGGACAGAGGGAGCCCAGGGAGGGCATGAAGGCAGGGGGAACGGGGCAGCCAGTGGGCCACCGAGGGGACAGCAGCCCCAAGGAGAAGCCTGACTGGAGGCTGGGGACGGGGGGCCGCTCTCCCTCTGCCCCGCAGGAAACCGCGGCTCAGGACCATGCCCTGGGGGCACGGAAGAGCTCGGAACCCTCCGGGCGTGGAGGCCACGGCGTAGCGGTGCCTACAAAGGGCGCAGGCCGCGCTCACCACCGGGGCCCGGCGCTGGGCCCGCCGCCGCCGCTTACTCTATGGCCGCTGCCATCTTTCCGCCACCACACAACGACGCACCGCGACAGCGGCGGCGAGAAGGCGTCACCCTCACCGTCCGCTTCCGCTTCCGGTGGGCGGAGCAGCGAGGCGGGGCGCACCAGAGTGTCCACGGAGCGAGTGAGAGAGCGCCCCCTGGCGGAGGGAGGAGCGCTGCGGGACGCGTCCGCGCACAGCGGGAACCGCCTGAAACGCGCCCTGCACCCCTACAGCCCCGCAAGGCCAAAATCCTGAACCCTCATAAATCTGTACCTCTGTGGCCCTCCACCCATCCTTAACCCCTATAATCTTGCTGCTCGTAAGCATGCTTACCTATAAACCCGCACCCCTATAAATGTGCATCCATCCTGCATCCCCATAACCCTGCACTGCTATAGCCCTGTAGCCCTTTACCACTAGAAGCCTGCACACATGCTGCATCCCTATAGCTCCGCACCCCATAATCTCTATAACCCTGAACACCTATAAATAAGCATCACTATAGCCCTGCACCTAAACTGAAACCCATAATCACGCACCTCATAAACGTGCACTTATCCTCCACCCCTTCAGAACTACATCCCTGTGGCCCTATCAGCCTATATCCATCCTGTGCTCCTATCAGCCTGCACATCCATAAACCTGCACCTGCATAACCTGCATTTCACCCCCAGAGATGCTCTGTATGTTTTTGGGGCATGCCTCTGTCTCATAAGCTCCTCAGGTGTGTAGGACAGTCAGAACTATTCCTGCCCCCCAGAAGCCCCTCTGACAGCCCAGGGATGGGGACAGCAGCATCCAGGCGGTGGCATTAGTGCCATGGAGCTGGGGACATGCTCACCCACACTGGTTACTGTGCTGCAGCCAGCCCTGGGTGAAGGGCCTCAGCTCCATAAAGCACTCCATGACATTGCTATTCCCACAAAGCTCTGGGGACATCACCCCATTGGGGTGGCAGATAGGTGCCAGGACAGTGGGGACCTTTATAGCCCTGGGGACCCCTATATAACCCCAGCATCCACCTTGTGCCCCCTATACATGTATGTGGGAAGGAGGCACCCTGCTAAGCAGAGGAGCAGCATCCCCTATGGGAACATGAGGAAAGAACCCACTCCATGGGTCTGGGGGTCCGTGCCCATTTCCCAGTGTTTTTCACAGCAGGAGACACGATGACAAGCTGAAAATGAATGGCCTCAGCTCTTCTCTTTGTTTCCCTCCCTTCTATGTAATTAATTGGGATCCACCTTAATAGGATAAAACTAAATACCAAAGAGCATCCAACCACACGGCAGCTGGCAGGAAAATAACCACCCAGCACACACACAGACAGGCAGTTCAACGGACAAAAGAGCCATTAACACAGCAGCAATCGGCACTCCTGAGCTAATAACTCCATCCCTGTGGCCAGCCTGTGTTGGGGCTCAGGGCAGCAGACCTCTGTGGGAACAGTTCTGTTTTCATTCATCTGCAGGGGTTTGCTGATGGGATTTAAGAAATCTCAGCGAGGGAGGGCTGGGAGTAGGGAGCTTGGTGAGACGCTCAGAGGGTTCAAATGGGATGGAATTGGCTGGAATTGGGCTGGCTGCTCTGCTTTTAGGAAGGGTTTTGTCCATTCTTCAGCTGCAGACGGCTTCAAGGTGGGCTGGGGGGAGGCTTTGGTGGAAAGCACCCAGAGAAAACAGGTGAGTGTTGCAGGCAGAACGGTCGGTACGCATGAGGCTTTGCTCTGAGCCATCCCATTTGCTGCTGGGGAAGGTGACAGTGCCATTCCCAGCGCAGCCCAATGGATCTCAGGCACAAACAATGCAGTTCTGCTCCCAGCTGCACATCATCTGTCCTTTCTGATGGCTGTCAGCATCAGCTCCCCTATGCAAACCATCCTGTTCCACCCCAAACCTCAAACACGCCTGTGTCCTCATCACAGCTCCCTTGGGATGAGCCCCAGTGCTGCACAGATATTTCCCATCCATCCCCACAGCTAGCATGGGGGCTTAAAAAAGCAAGCAGAGCTCATTTGGAATGTTTTGGGGGGTTTGCTGAAGCAAGGTCCTTTCTGCTGCTGCGTACCAAGTGCTGCGGGATGAGTGAGGCTGGGGACTGAAGAAGGAAAGGAAGGATGCTCTGCTCCCACCCTGCCTCAGCCCACAGCCCCGGCCATCTCCTCATATGGACACTCACAGGGAAAGAAAACCCTCTCCAGGTCCTGCGTATTGCCATCCCCTCTCGTGGCCCCATCCACGCTGTGCTGGTGGAGGAGAGAAAAACAAACATCCCCCAGGCTTTGCAGAGAGCAAAGTTGGTGCAGGTAGCCCTGCTCGAGGCTTTGCCCTCTCACAGGGTGCTCTTTCCAAATGTGCACGGCTGCTGGCACCCACGTGCAGTAGGAGAGGTGCTGGGTGCTTTGGGAACCATGGGGAAATCCCTTCTGGAGGTGTTTCTCTGTGGATTGGATATGGGGGGGGGGGGGGGTTTCTTCCAGGAGAAATCTCCAATGGTGTTTTCCTCGCCCTCAGAAAGGAGCAGCCTCTGTGGGGCTTTCCTTTGGGCAAAGTATCCTGTGTGCCCAAGGAGCAGCAGGCTTCAGTTGGGAACACAGTTGGGGTGAGGATGCAGCCAAGAGAGCAGCCCTGAGATGACAATTCCAACTCCAATTTCTCTCATTTTTTCCAAGAAAAAAACGAGATCCAACTCGATATTTTATTCTACCCCGGGCCGGGGGAGAGAATTCATTCATGTTTACATGGGCATTCGGGCATCCATTTTTATAAAATGGGACAGAGAAGTCCCCGTCAGAACCCCCTGGCTCCTGTTTCGACCCTTTCCAGAGCCACACAGGGCCAGGCTAGAAGGATGGTGCTGGGACCCCACCTGCCATCAGCCCCCCCCCCCCAGTCTGTCCCCGGCGCCTGATCGCTGCCCTCAGCACCTTCCCAAACTCTCCCGACCTTTACACAACGCAGAGCGCATGCAGGACCCCTGGCGAGTAGCGCCTTGTGCCACCCGTGGGTGACGGCCCCTCCCGCTGATGCGCAGTGACATTTGCAATCTGTTGCCATGGGCGCTCGGGGACTTTTGCTGTGGAGGGGGATCGCGCTTCTCCCCCCCCTTCCTCCTCCTCTCCATCCCTCCCTCCCGATGACGTCATGGATGACCACGGTGGTGACAGGGCCACCTGTGGGCTGGTGAGGGGTTTAAAGAGACAGTCTGCAGCTGCAACAGGAGCCCTGGCTATTGTCTGCGCACCTGGGAGTGAGGGAACCTGCAGCCCCCCGACCACCCATCCATCCATCCATCCATCCACTCATCCATCCATCCATCCACCCCATCCTACCGCATCCCATCCATCCACCCATCCCATCCCACTGCATCCCACTTGTCCCCATATCCCGTACAGCTCCCGCTGTGCCGGGGCTTTCCGAGCCGGTTCGTGCCCATTCCTGTGCCGACCTCCCACCACCGCAGTGGATCCCCCAAGGTAAGGCTGCGCTCCGTGGCCCCACGGTCCCTCCTGCCTCTCTGCATCCATTCCCTGCAGCCCCGGCTCTGACAAAGGGATCGCTCCGTGCCACCAAGGGGAGGTGGTGGGGACACCCAGCGCTGGGCACCTGCTGCGATCCAGTCCTGGGGATGTTCCTGCTGTCTCTGGGGAGGGCATGGGGATGATTCCAGAAGACATGGCAACCCCTGGCACAACGGGTTCCCACTGTGGGGACAGAGCCCTGCTGGCACTGAGCACTGGGATGCTTCTGCTTTGGGGCAGCACTGGGCTCAACAGGATCCCAGCACCTCCACTCCGGCTTTCCCAGAGCACCACTGAATTCATTTCCCATTCCCTTGCCTGGGCACCCATTTTCCTTGTATGCCACCCCCATGTGGGAAGTGGGTGTCTCCAGCATGGCATCCCCTAGTCCTCAGTACATCCTATTTGATGCCATGTACCCAGAGTGGGTGCTGCTGGGTGGTGGTGGGTGCTGCAGGGATCACGGTGCGTGGCAAAGGAGCAGGGAGAGAGGGGCTGCCCATCCCCTGGGGGGCAAGGACCAGTCCCCAGTGTCTGTCCCTCAGTCCTCCCAGCCCCAACAGGGTGAGCAGCAGGTAAGTGCCATCGTTATGGCTGCAGATTTTGGTGTCACTCAGATGTGCAGGCAGGGAATGGGGTAGGAAAAGGGTCTGGGAGCAGCTCAGAATGGAGATGTGTGCATGGAGATCAGCGTGTCTACTCCCAGGGAGAGGAAGGGTTCATTCCTTCCCATGGGATGTAACCCATTGGGACCATGTCCTGCTCCTCAGCAGCTCCTATCAAGGGCTTGTGCAGGTCCCCACATCCCAAGTCCATGGGGGCTGTGTTGGACCCCACCACCAAAGAGCCAGCAGCACAGGACAAATTCTTCTGGGCAGGAAGGGATGGGAACTATGCAGGGTAGGAATGGAACCATGGGATTCTACAGTCCAGTCTTGAGAAATGGGGCCAAATCCAAGGATGAACCCCACAGAGAGAAGTTGGCTCCCTGCATCCTGGGACGCAGTGAAGCAATGGTAGAAGACGGTGAGAGCTTGGGCTGGGCCTGGGTTTGGTGTGGAAGAGACGATGCTAATTGTTGGGTATAGAGAAACTGAGTGGCAACCTCAAGGCATGGCACCATGGTGTTTGCACATCTGTCTGCCCCACAGCAGGGTGCACAGCTGCATCGTGCAGGGAAGGGCGAGACCCCCGTGCATAAGAGGAAGGAGGTGGCATGATGGAGCAGACAATGCCTGCCCTCCCAGAGCAGCACAGAGGGGGCACTGACCTGCTTGGTTGAGCACCCCATGGTGCTGGGGTGCCTGAGGAAGACTTGGGATCATGCATGGGGCGTGTGCTGTGTGGACATAATCTTAACTGTGCAGGGGGCCGGAGTTGAGCTGAAAATAACCGTGGTCTGCCTAGGTGGATACATGGAGCAAGTAGGGGAAACACAACAAGCAGGGAAAGCGGTGGAGTGCAGGCTGGGCAGAATTGCTGATATCTGCAAGAGCCCATTCCCAGTGCAACCCAAAGAGAATTTGTGTCTGTGTGTGAGCACACCCAAATACACATCCGTACACACG